AACTAGATGTTAACTATTGGTGGAGTGAGTATTGGAGGCCTGTGGAATATTGAGATGCTAGCACAGCAAAGGACTCCAGATATCACTGATGATGGAACTGATGTCCTGCAGAAAAATCCTGTGCCAGACATCCAAGGCCTTTCAGACTCGGCAAGGATTGCGGCACTCAATACTTATGATGAGGTGCTACCGATCGGTAAAATGCTGAATTATCAAAAATTTCCTGCAATCTCCCCAAAGAACCATGCGCCTTATGTTCATGGAGTCCAGCGCTAAGATCCTCACCGATGTACCCAATGCAGACCTTTCTGTATTCACAGGTGTTACATCAGGTTAGGTCTCAGAGTCTTACTCATCCTTGTAGGCTATTGCAGATCATGTTAGGCATGGAAAACCTAGATGCCAGTGTCATTCAGGAAGGACTAAATGCAATAAGAGCTGCCTATGAAGGGAAGTGTAATGGGCCAGATGAACCTGATGGGTAGACCTTGAGTATACGAAACACTTCAGTCAGTGAAAGACTTTGGATCAAGTGTCTCAACTTGATGTACCCCAAATCGGTTGTGTTGGATTGTTGCCTTGACATAGCAAAGTTGTCGCAGGAGAGGATCGTGGTCAACGATGAAGGATTGCCAGACAAGGGTGCCAATGACTGATGAATAGATCCCAGGGCACTGGACAGATTGATTGTGGAGATGCCTATCAATGTGTGGCTCTCTGATAGACAAAAGGGCTGAGGATACTGCCAGACTGCCTGGAGGCCTCAATATCCAGGAAGAAGATTCGATCCAAGGTGAGCCAGATGCTGCTGTGTGTGAACCAGCTGAAGTGTCTCAGGAACTGCTGGAGGTACTGTGCTGTGTGATAAAATGATGAAAGTGTCATTCATAAAACTGAAGATAACTGTTGCTCTCAAATCCACGAAAGCTGTACAGAACTATATGATGATATTGGCCAGAACTGGAGATGGGGTTAATCCTGTGGAAGTTCCAGCTGACTGCTTGAAGAATTGACCTGTCCACTGGATGAAGGACGGCAGGATGTAGATGGGTAGGAGATCACAAACCTAATCCAGAGAGAGGGTTTCACACTCACACAGCTTGTCTTCATGAAGGTTTCCTGACCGAGACCTTGAGACATGCCTCACCCATGGGATTGGTGATGAATACCTGGAGTCTCCACTGAAGCTGCACATGGCTTTGTTGGGATCACAAGTAAAGGTGTTCGCAGCAGCGGCAGCGCGGCGGCGCGGCGGCGGCAGCGCGGCGGCGGTGCGGCGGCAGCGCGACGGCGGCGCGGCGGCGGCGGCGCGGCGCGGCGGCGGCGCGGCAGCGGCGCGGTGGCGCGGCGGCAGCACAGCAGGTGATGGTGATGGTGGTGGTGAGGGTGAGGGTGGTGGTGAGGGTGAGGGGGGTGGTGGCGGCCGCCAGTGGGGGTGATGGGGATGGTGAGGGTGATGATCCCAATGACACCATGAGCGCAACCTCACAGTGTTCCCAACTACACCATGGTCAACCCCGATGAAGGCTACCAGATATTCACTGCCATCCCCACAGGCTACTCATGCCTCGGTGCCAAGGGGGACTCCGACTTGACTACGCCCTGCAGAAATATGAAGCCCCACACTCCAAACCAGGTTCATGATCTGCGACCCACCTACATCCTGCTGTTTTTCTTCCAATGAACAGCCAGTTGTCCAAGCAGCCTTCTGGAACTTCCACAGGATCAACTCTATCCCCAGTTTTAGTCAATGCCTTCATATAGGAGTACTGCCTTCGTAGATCTGAGACCAAGAGTTTGTCTTCAGTACACGGATGAGACTCTCATCACTTCATTATACAGCATGGGACCTCCAGCAGGTCCTGAAAGACTTCAACTGGATTTACAGCAGCATCTGGCGCAGTGAGGATCAGGCGCCTTGAATCTCATCCCCGGATGCTAAGGTCTGAAAACAGTCTGACAACACCCTCGACCCCTGAGTCTATTAGAGATGACCGACAGACACTGACTGGCAACATCGACAACCAATCCTTCCTGCACCCGGAAATCCAAACACCAGTCAAAGAGCAACCTTGTCCGGGAAGCCTGCATCAGCAACCACAATCCTGGCCGGCAACAACTTTACCATATCAAGACAGCACTACAACACAACAGATTCAAGGCTCATCCAGTCAAGACGCAAGATCCAAAGTCTTTCACCTACCAAAGGGTCCCCTACACCCAAGGTCGAACCCACTAGGCTCACCCCGCCTATTACACAGCCCAACACAGGCAGTTCTCATCACATCCAGTACTTCCTAAATGACAAAGGTATCCGGGCCTTCCACACCCACAAGATCCACAATAGCCCACAGGACAAGCAAGCCTCCAAGACCGAACCTGATGCATCCCCTGCGAATGCAGAAGGTGTACACTGGGTACACCAGCAAGAGAACTCAACGCCAGACAGCACAAACACAGAGCACATGGCAGATGGGGAGAATTACAGGAAATCAGTGAACACCCAGCACTCACCAAAAGGGACACCATCATCATGAGTATCAAGCAGCTACATCCATGCTCTGTCGTCTAGCAATGAAGGTCAGCAAACAGACGATAGCTCCGCAAAACTTCAGCATCACCATCAGAGACATCTGTTACCCTCTACATGTACGTAGTAGCTCAAACATCCACAGACCTCCAATTGCCTTCCTCCTCCAATTTCTTAGACCTCCTCCTCCAATGTCTTCTAAGGATGTGACGTTTCATTTTGTAAATGTTTAGCAAACATTTAAAGAACCATCTCAATGTTGAGCCCTTTCACAAAGACTGACGACTGCCCATTGTGCAGACCAACATGATCGACACAACAAATAATAAATGAGTAACATAATAAAAAGAGGGCTGTCATTGAAAACAATAAAAAGATGAGCACGTAGCCTGAAAGTAATCTAGTACTGCAGTTCTCCTTAGCTTTTAGCAAATTGAATAGGTTTGGATTATTTTTGTTATGCATGCTCAACTCAAAGGAAGATAGCGGAAAATAGGTTCCTGTTTTTAAAATTTGAGTTTTGTTAAAACTTTTGGAAAAATACGATTTAGAATTTTGTTTATTATTTTAAATGTTTAAATGTGTAAATGTCACATCCATAATTTCCTCACTCCACCAATACATAGTTCCCCTTTTGCCTGTGGATTTCAGTTTAATGTTTACACTCAGCCTGCAGAGGACAAAAATACTTTTTGATATCAGATTTTATATATTGATTGAATTTGTTAAAAGCACAAGTAAATTAATATGCACAGTTTAAGTAGCTAAATTAAATTTATGATATACATCTTTTTTCAAAGTGGATTTTTGTTAATTTTCACCTACTGCTTCTAATTGTTTCAGCTTCTTTTCAAAAAATTAAATGTACCCACTGACACCCTATAGTGAACATAGTTAAACAGTACAACTGCCAATGCATCAACCTTACGCTAGAATCATTCGTGGGTTTATCTCTATCCTAAATGCTGGAGATAGTTTATCATGAATTTCTTCCCGCATGTACACTCCCAGCAAGTTCTTATTAAAAAGGGGCCTATGGGTCATTCTTCAGTATCAAGTGTCTACTTTCATGTCCCGACACTTTAAGGCACTATAATTCGAAAAAATATAGAAAGAAAATTAGATTTTTGAGCAGTGAAATTAACTTCAACACGACTCCTATTATGTGCAGTGTTAAAAACTCTTTAACATAATGGACAAGATGCTCATTCTTTACAATACTCCCTCAAAACCCCCTCAAAATGCATGTCCCCATGTATTTCTCAATATGTACCTACTGCCATAAGTTGTAAAGTAAACAACTTGAAAAGGTAATTATACCTCCAAAAGCCAAGTAAAAATAATTGTCATTTCCATCACAAAAGGTGTGACGGATATGACTTTTGCATTCTTTTCACAATCAATATTTCTTTGGGCCCTACTGAAAATAAAGGAACCCAGCATTAATTATTTCCTGTAGGAAACTACTTCACATCACCACTCCAATACAATAGAGACTAAAATAACAGAGAGAGATATGTTGCAAGGATGAATGAAGTCCCTGAAAGCCATCAGCCCTGTTTTTGGTACATAATAATTGTCAATTATCAGATTGATCTTCGATCAGGCCAATCAAATATGTTGAACACTTTCAAGTGCTTCAACATGGGGGGGGGGTGCACATATTGTGACGTACGTGAGTAACCACTAGCTTAATTGTCACTTCCTTAACATGCTCAAAATCCAAAATGTTTAAATAGGATTATGTGAAAATCTTAGATCTGCGGTTTATGCAACAGGATTGGCACAATTGCGAATCCCACGCTTTGTGAATGCAAATCGCCATGATTGCAACCTTGGTAATGGTAATAGTATTCTTTCCCTGCTAAATACTCACGACCGGACCATGAATGTCTTGCAGTTTTTCAGGTTTTAAGAAAATCGAGTTGACGACGGACACACTGAAACCACCTCACAAGTAGAGATACAACAAGTGAAGTTCCTCGACAACGAATCTGGAGAAAGTTGCATGACCCAACATGGCAACGACATCATAGGGCAATTGGACACACCAACTTTTGAGAGACGGGCATTGTTACATTTTGTGCAGTGCACATGTGCAGCGCACGCAAACAACAAACCACCACGTGTGAATATTATCCATTCATTTTGCACCTGTCAGTGTCACAAAACACCATACCACCGTACCTGTGCGCGCCATCACGTGGGCATACGTCATACCAAGCGCATACCTTGGGATTTGTCGTAAAACATTTGTTTCGTTTGAAACGCAGCTTTCACTTCCACTGCGATGTTATTTTGTCAAGTTTTGTATATATTGGTAACGGTCTTTGTTCTGCATTGAAAACATCGATTGTCAACAGTTCTAATGTTATAGTTGTTATGCTTGCATTAGACTCTTTAATTAGTTGTTAAAATGATTACGTAGACAGTCATGACTCTAAGCCGAAGCTTATTCCTAAATTTCAGAAACGTCACTCTCAAAAAAATTGTTTAGAGGGCGCTGTACCGGCGGCAGATCCAAGAATCAAGATGACGTCCCTTGTCACCGATGTTCTGCTCGCAAACACGGGTAAAACTCAGCTGTTTTCCAATAATACTATTCTTTCAGCAAGGGTTCTCTCAATAAAGTTCTAGAGATTATTGTAGGAAAAATAAAAAAAACTTAGTACATTTAATTCCTATGTAGGCCGAGTATTTGAAACGCTTTTTGGTTTGTTAGTACTAGTAGGCCTATTCGATCTTTATCGTTGCATCGGTTGCGTGATAAAACGTATGAGAACGGGTGTCATGTCGCCAGTCGGTCACTAAGCTTCGCCCGGTAATCCTTACTAGTATTAGGACCCTGTTCCTACGTAAGAAGGGAAAAACTCACCAAAACAGTTGACTAAATCATGACACTTAAAATTGACATTCTGATATTTCTTTAGCCCCACTAGTGTGGCCGTCGGTATGCTGCGCTGAACCAAAGGCCACACACCGTGGTACCGCGCGCTACTGAGGACGAAGTTTCATAAAATCTGCGGTCCGTTTCTTACATTCTCAGTTTCTTACTTTCTTATGGTTGTATTCTATGATGTCTCACCTATCACTTCTGGGTAGCCCCATAAATGTGGCCTATTTACTGGACTGCCTCCGTAAACATAGGCCACACATCCACATGTACAAAAATCGTGTCGACGGAGCCAAATTTTGATTTTCACATTTAGGCTTAGTTTGTAGGGTTTTTTTGCTTTAGAAGCATACTCACCCTCTTTACAGGCTAATCAGAAAGTGCTGCCTTTTTCAGATGTCTAATTTTTGTGAAATTTCATGTTGAAATTTTGATACGCAAACGTGTAAAAATGAATCTGGAAATTTCACGAAAATTAGACATCTGAAAAAGGCAGCACTTTCTGATTAGCCTATAAAGAGGGTGAGTATGCTTCTAAAGCAAAAAAAACCTACAAACTAAGCCTAAATGTGAAAATCAAAATTTGGCTCCGTCGACACGATTTTTGTACATGTGGATGTGTGGCCTATGTTTACGGAGGCAGTCCAGTAAATAGGCCACATTTATGGGGCTAACTTCTGGGATGCTTAGGTCTCTAATGATGTTCCATTTTCCGAGATATTCTTCAATCTCTCTGGAGCCCATATGCACTCGTGAATCGTCTGGTGATGGCAGCCATTTTGAATGGGACAAGAGATGACCTCAAGCTGTGACGTCGCGTTTATGCAAACTGCTTGTCGAGCGCGCGAGGGCGCGAGTTGCAAATGCGACGGCTGTTTCCTGTGCCGTAGATCCTGAGGGGAGATCGGTGCACGTGGCCCCCTGACGATAAATGCATGGTACAGGAAACAGCCGTCGCATTTGCAACTCGCGCGCTCGACAAGCAATTTGCATAAACGCGACGTCACAGCTTGAGGTCATCTCTTGTCACATTCAAAATGGCTGCCATCACCAGACGTTTCACGAGTTCATATGGGCTCCAGAAAGATTGAAGAATATCTCGGAAAATGGAACATCATTACATCTAAGCATCCAGAAGTGATAGGTGAGACATCATAGAATACAACCATAAGAAAATAAGAAACTGAGAATGTAAGAAACGGACCGCAGATTTTATGAAAACGTCCTCAGTAGTGCGCGCACCACGGTGTTTGGCCTTTGGTTCAGCGCAGCATACCGACGGCCACACTAGTGGGGCATTTATTTCTTGACCCATCTGAACAATTGGCAATGACTAGCTCTACTGAGTGGAGCGTTGAATTACGGGTACCCCTGCATACAAACGCTCCACCGATTTGCCATACTTTGGTGACAGGTACACGGTCGTCATGACGGTATGCATTTTGTGCATGCCCTCGCGAGGACAAGGCCCAAAAAAACTAATAAAGAAAATACAAATGAGAAAGACAGTAACCCTGGATAGATCCACACATTCATGACATTCCATACGACCCCTCACCTCAAATTGTTCCAATCAACCGGTAATTTTGAAAAAAAACACAAAATAGTCTGAACTTACCGCTCACAATTAAATGTGTCTGCCAAGTTGCACAGTCTATTTCACTGACATGACTGATGCATTATTCATCACGCGCGTATGTGACGTCACTATTGAAGAAAAACAAGTTGCGCTTACTCAATAGCTGTTTCATGTAGTCATATGTGCCCCGCGCCGTCTGACAGTGTGGGTTTTTGGTGCAGGGCACATATCAGTACATGAAACAGTCATTGATTAAGCGCGACTTGTTTTTCTTCAATAGTGACGTCACACACGCGCGCGATGAATTATGCATCAGTCATGTCAGTGAAATAGACTGTGCAACTCGGCAGACGCATTTAATTGTGAGCGGTAAGTTCAGACTATTTTGTTCTTTTTTCAAAATTACCGGTTGTTTGGAACAATTTGAGGGGTCATATGGAATGTCATGAATGTGTGGATCTATCCAGGGTTACTGTCTTTCTCATTTGTATTTTCTTTATCAGTTTTTTGGGGCCTTGTCCTCGCGCCGTGGCGCGTGGCTAGCCATGTTAACGGGCCAAATTCCAGGGTCTGTGTACAGGTACATGTACGTGCACACTAACGTTACATTCAACGAAAAAAACGTATAACGTGAGACCTTACTTTTCTCATTGAAACGGTTTCCGACTTAAATGATATTTACACATCGCACTTTCCGTGGCATTCTTTACCATTTTTCAATGAAGACAAGTTTACAATTACTCGGCAAAACTGAAAAATTATCCCCTAAACTGTCGCCTGTTTTGAATTTGTGACCCAATACTTTCCTACTACACGACACCGAAAAACAAAAAAAATGCAACATATACTCTCTGTTTTTTAGCGCTAAGGTTTGCAAAAGTGACTATGATTGCCTTAAATTCCTGTCTACGTGGAAAGAAAAATGTATCAAAGTACATTGAGCGTGATGTTGACCGATACTTCAGTGGTTCGAACTGCCACTGCAGGCATCCATGTTTGCTGATTATCAGTATTTCATATTTTGAGTGCACATGCGCGCAAACTAAATGAGCGGCTGAAACTTACGTGCCGTATTAACTGTTACAAGTCCACAAGCTTATTGATTGGGTTTTTATATCCTAGAGTTTAAAAGTGTTACAGGCAAAACTTCATTCGAAAGTTGGTCCTGCTATTTGGGTTTTGGTGTTTTTTACTCACCCAATATTTTGTAATTCTTTGCCCAGATCTGTTGGAAAAGGAAGACCTGGGGACGCGCATCGGCAAATTATCAACTCACATTGATGAGATCAAGGGTGAAATCTACCACGCCGTACACAAGAAGTATGCCAACTACAGACCCACCAGGGACTCCACCCAGGAGCTACACAACAAGGTGCAGACACTGTCCACTGAGATGCAGACTCTCAGCAATAAGATCAAGGTACAATGTATGTCATAGTCTTAAGGCCCTAGTAACACATTCATGGTTGGACCTACGAATATCCACCGTTTACCAAGAATCAATTGATCACAATGAACCATCAAGACTCATGGAGAAATTGACTTTCTAAGAATGCACTAGGGTTTCAGGACGGATAGCCACGACTGTCAGAGGTTTCTTAATGAATACACCACGGTTTCTTGAATGGATTGTTTACGAATATTGACAGTATTACCAAGAATAATGATGTTAATGCCACAGTTGTCTGCGATTGGGCCACTGATGACCAAGGTTCTCCTATAAATAAAGCATAGTCATATTCGTAGTACAACCATAGCAGAATTCTAGCATATCTGGGCATAACCGTAGGACATTTGTAGTGAATTCGTAGAGATTTCCACCACGAATGAGCTACAAATCTCCAAGAATATGTATGAATAGCTACAAATAACACTACGAATTAGTTCAGTTGTTCTATGGATGTCCCAGGGTTCTACTGCGCATTGATTTTCATGACTATTCACCACGGAAGTTTGGAACAGTTAAGAACTTCCGTAGCCCCTCCATGAATACCAAAGGAAGTTGACGGATAACCACGCAGATATTTAAGATGAATGGTTATCATATGTAGTATGTGTGGGACTGAAAGTGAACAGTAAATTGCCTGCAGAAGTCACGTTTGTGCACTAGTTTCTCCCATTTTGTTTTTTTTTCTTTGGGGGGGGGGGTATTAGGAGTTGGCCTAGACGTTTTGATGGTGGGTGATATTGGTTGGTCGTGAGTGAGAGCTCCCTCTTGCGGCGGGTTATCGCTGCGGGGGTTATCGCGTATCAAACCATAATAACGTCTAGCCCCTAGACTAGGTATGTAAAGCTGTCTGATGAGACAGGCATTGGTGTCTGTGGTTATCACTTATTGCACCATTGGTAAAAACCTAGCCTATTCTATGGCCACGCACTGGAGTAATCTCTGTGCTAAGGGCCATACAAATGTGAGCACAGCAAGTTGGTAAAATGATGCATTTTTTTCATGGAAATGTTTTGGTGTGATACTTGGCATAGGGGTTCTTCAGTCGGGAGGTAACACACTGAGTATACAGTGTTTAAAAAAACGTCGGTAAAGGGCAAAACCTAATTTGATTTATATCACCCCGACGCAAAATTCCATCTTATAATAGTTTATGCGGTACCCGCTGCTACATGTATGTACATCAGATTCGAACCGGCCAACCGATCCCGTTAGCTCGGTGGTCGAGTGTAAGACATCTGCACTAGAAAGCAGGAGGTCGTGGGTTCGAGTCCCACCCGAGTGATTTTTTCCAAGTTTCACTCGGGAGGTAACACACTGAGTATACAGTGTTTAAAAAACGTCGGTGAAGGGCAAAACCTAATTTGATTTATATCACCCCGACTGATCCCGTTAGCTCGGTGGTCGAGTGGTAAGGTAAGACATCTGCACTAGAAAGCAGGAGGTCGTGGGTTCGAGTCCCACCCAAGTGATTTTTTCCAACTTTCACTCGGGAGGAAACACACTGAGTATACAGTGTTTAAAAAAAAACGTCGGTGAAGGGCAAAACCTACATGTATCTTATAATAGTGCTGAAGTTTGCTTACGAGTCGGATGAAAAGTGAAATTTCCTGTTCAATTCCGAGAGCTCCCTTCGCGATCTATCGTTAAATTTCCAACTCGTGTTTGAATGACGCGATGTAACCGTACGTGCCCAGCATTCATTCAGTGGTCCCAGCGCGATTCTGTTAGCGAGCGCCATACATCGATTATGATCATGGCAGACTGGATCTCGTTTGTACAGATAAGTGCATTCGAACTGAGATACGGAGTCGGGAACTAGAGCAGCTATCAGCGGAAACCAGTTCAAGCTAGTTCCCGACTCCATATCATCGTTCGAAATGCACTTGTACAAACAAGATCCAGTCTACTCATTATCATATGAGGCATCAATAAAGTATCAAGTATCAGAAAAGCATACTAGTTCAAATACCAGAATGGTGATAGTACATACCATTATTTGTGCTTGGCAGTTTTGAATTACGCACACAAAAACAGCAGCTTGTAGAAATTGGTCATTTTTGGGAACCGTCCAAATTAAGATATATAGGTTTATCTCTAACTTTACAAAGAGGTTCATATTTTAAAGCATTCATTTTTTTTCAGGTACTGTGTACAATTGTTGTACATGTACATCTATATTAACAGTATTCAACTTCGGGATGTTTCTTATTCAAAATTTGCAATTCATTGATCTGTTTGTCAGTGTGAACTGATTTTGTTGTGCAGTGTCTCACTTGAAAACTCATAATTAAACTTACAAATATCTCATGCTTAAAAAAAATCAAAGTAAATTTATTTTCTCTGATCGGAGTTGGTTTTTTAATTTGTTCGTTTTTCTCTATCAGGTCTTGACCCACAAGATAACCATTCCACCAGCACCTCTGACGTACCGGTGACTGGTGCTGCCATAAGGATCCTTATCACTATCGGACACAACAGCACTTCACCTCAGAGATCTTCAAGATTGAGATCCAAAACCTCCCAAGACATTTTGGATTTGTGGTGAGTTTGCTTTCTAAGCATTCAACTCTCGATAATGATAATAAAGTTTTTGCTCTATTAAGAGTTCATGATGTTTTCCATGGTGAAGATTTCTCAGGGTCTTTTTGTAATTTTGTATAACAGAATTTAAAGGCAATTGGATGAATTTCACTAAAGCCTGGAAATATCCTAGCCTCATGTCTATATGAAAGTAATGGTAAACTGCATGTAGAAAGTTGTATATTTTTCCAGTGCAATTTTTACAATGCCTGTACACTTTAATAGTTGTTTCTACTGTTGCTGTGATATCGCTTTAGGTATTTCACATAAACAGCTTTGTGATTTTCTGTGTAACTTGTGAAACTAAAATTCATTGCATTGAAAATGTACATGTACACGTAGCAGTTTGTTGTTAAAGTATCTGACTGACTGCCTGTGCCTCGTGCACAATGAACAAACAGTCACATCAACCTCAACCAAAACACTTTGTAACTTTCCGTCCTTAAACAGCAGTGACACTGAAGTTCCAGCTCATGACATCACTGTATTGCTCATGAATATGGAACTTGGCACTTTCTTAAAAATATTTTAAAGCCTGGAGCATCGTAACCCTTCATCAACTAAAAGCCTCAAAATCTGTTTCAAACGCTCTTAAGTATCTGCAGTGGAAAATGTAGGGTTATACATGTACAAATGTAGATGTTTGTGCCAGTTCATGTATATTTTCACACAGACAAAGTTTAAAAACAAACTTGCTCATTTAAACGCACACAAATACCTCATTCAAGAAACATTTAACATGTACATACATGTAAGTATGCAGTTTTGTAATCCATTTGCCTAGACGATCATTTTCAAGTATTTCTGAACCAAGAATGTAAGACTTGCTGTGATCTGGCAGATGCAAGATAGGCGCAGAAACAAGTGGCGCTTTCAGCATGCTCAATGCATGTTCCTGTGCCTCTTCCCATTTCACGTGATTTGGTTTTCCTTTCTTAGTCAGATCTGTAATCGGCACTGCAATGGCTGAAAAGTTCAGAATGAATTTGCAATATTAATTCACAAGGCCCATAAGTGATCAAACTTCCTTTTTCATTCGTGGACGAGATGCAGTCAGGATTGTTGAGATCTTTTCCGTTTGTGGCTTTACAACACCGTTTCCTACAATGTGCCCTAGAAAATCAAGGGAATCATATCCGGCCATACATTTCGTTGGTTTAGCAGTCAAATTTGCCTTGCGCAAGGGGTTCAAAACATCTTGAATTGTTTCGATGTGTTGTTCCCAAGTGTCTGTGTATATCAGAATATCATCAATGAAATTCACGACATGCTGTATGTTTTCCAGCAATTTTCTCATCATGCGTATGAAAGTAGCCGGTGAATTTACCATTCTCAAAGGTAACACAGTGAATTAAACTATGTACTTTTTGAGGAGATTTGCGTGAAATGTGTGTGGCTTACTGTTCATCTCAATACAGTAGTCGTTTTGTGCAACTTTCCGTAATACAGGAAATGGCTTTTTCAATTACATGAGTAATTTGTTCGCATCAGTTGGCAGGACAACTAATACTCGGTGGCCGGTATCAAACTTTCGATCTCAAGTACGCGCGTCGTAGTATTTCTTATAGCGGTTACTGGACTTCGCGAGTTCTTCTCAAGCTAGTTTGCAAGTAGACTCTAGCCGTTCACACAAGTCTATGACATATTGATAAGTTGTCTTTACCTCTTCATCTAATTTTTCTCCAGTCCATAACTCTCTGAGGATAGTAAGAGGACCTCGTACTGAATGACCGTACATGAGCTCAAAGGGAGAGTACCCCGTGCTCTCTTGCGGAGATTCTCAATACGCGAACTTCAGCGCAGGGATATACCAATTCCAATCACGTGGTCTCTCACTGCACATGCGCCTTAACATTCGTTTCAGTGTACCGTTGAATTTCTCAACAAGTCCATTAGAGATTGGATGGTAGGGTGTAGTTTGCAGATGTTTCATTGACGTAAGTCTGCCTATTTCTTTCATTAGATCCGAGGTGAATTATGCACCCATATCTGATAACATTTCATTTGGATCGCCCATTGGAGTGAAGATTTCAAACAACGCTTCCACTACGCGTTCTGTTTCAATAGGGCTACAGCTTCCGGATAGCACGTTGCATAGTCGACCAAAGTCAGAATGTATCTATTGCCTCGTTCCGTGATGGCGTGAATTGGTCCTATCAAGTCTACGGCTACTCGTCTAAACGGCGTATCAATTAAGGTATTCTTCTTACATGTAGAGTAACCGTGCCGACACGACCTTTCGCGACTGTTCTTTGGCATATGTCACAGGAAACGCAGTATCTTCGGATGTCGCCTTGCAGGCCTGGCCAAAAGAAATTTGCAAGTACGCGGTCTGTTGTTTTCTTGATACCGAGATGCCCTGCCATGGTGGAATTGTGTGCATGCTTCAATACCTTCGAGTGCATTTTCTTTGGGAATACCAACTGTGTGATTACATGATAGTTTTCTGTCGATGGTGAAGCGAATTCATGGTAGAGTAATCCGTCCGAGACGAAATACCTAGTTTCGTTATCCTTACCCGTTCGTCGGCTTTGACCTGTTTCCGCGAGGGTGAATAGCTTTTCCAACAACGGATTTTCATGTTGCGCTTTAATTATTTCGGAGAGATTTTGAACTTCGGGAACTTTAAGATGACGCAAGTTCGTGACTTTCTTAAGCTTTTGCGCTCTTTTTTCAACTGCAGCTGTTTTCTCGTCGCGAGGGCTTTGGCATTTCTGTTCCGGTTTGTCATTTCGTTACCTGACCAACTGGGATCAGGATCACGCGGGTCTATAACACATGTTATGTTTCCCTATAAGATGGTACAAGGGATTTGGCATACACTATGAATTCACGGTTCCTACAAAATACAGCGAATCTACAATGTATTTCAATACGCGCGACTGAAACATTCCGTGTACTGTCTAGAAGAACACACTTTTGTTTTGTCTCCAACATTTGTTCCTTCTTAACTAAACTCTGTTTGACGACAACCGTACTACATCCGCTATCATGCAGAACCTTAACCGTTTCGTTGCCTTACTGGAATTTGATTACCGATTGTACACGTGACACTAATCATGGGGACTTCATGCCCACAAGACAGTTTCAAATTTTCTCCTATTTGACCTGCACATTCGCATAGCGCAGGCCTCGATCTTGGGCAAAAAAGGGGCAGGCCGCTTTGGCCATGCCCCCATCAAAATTTCACAGGGCACCAAGGCCAACTCAAGGGGGCACCAAGGCCAATCATTTCAAAACCTTTAATTTACATTTATTTACAGCCAGTGTATACACGCCTATTTTCTAGGTCACATAAACAATCTCAGAGTATTCAGTTCTTGTAGAAATGTACATCATGTCCAAAGAGCTTCGTTTCCGATTTCGCTTTATCGCTTGTAGCTTTTAATGTTCTGATCAAATTTTTAAATAAATTGCTTTCTTCGTAATATCATACAGTTAAAATAATACAGTTGATGTTACTGTAAGATAACATTGACTTATGTTGATCTGGAATCTTCAAACTTAGGCACCCAAATCGCACTTTCAGCAGGCGGAGTCGAATGAAGACCGAGTTTTGGAACATCTCGGTAACGGTCATCAAAATTGTACATGACGCAGCAAAAAGTTCGCCCATACATGTACGATCGTAGTATATTTGACGCACAAAATCATCGTTGAATTTCAAGTTTTCTCTAAATGAAAGCAATGAATATTAATTATCAACTCATTTAAAATAAAATTAATAAGCGGTTAGTAGTTAATTAAACTATATTATATACTTGGAAATACTAGGGCGCTATCCGATTGTCGACGAAACTTTGGAAATTTCCGGAAAAAGGAGGAATTCCTCCCGTTTTAGTCACGTGATGTAAATTGTAATACAATGTATTACCGGAGGCTACCGGACCTAAAGCCCTGTCCGCACTGGACTTTTTTTGGTCAAACTAACCGAGACTATGGGTACTTTTTTCTATTTTAAGTCCAGTGCGGACAGCCTAGGATGTTTTCCTCTCGGTTACTTTTCCTGAGTCCCAGCGGTTACTTTTACTGGCCAACTGCTGCCCAGGAAAACTGACCACGCGCCCAGGAAAACTGACCAGGTCACTTTTCCCGAGATGATAAGTCCAGTGCGGACAGTGCAAGTCGGTAAAAGCGGCTCAGGAAAGCGTACATCCAGCCCGAGCGCCAGTGTTGGAGGTCTCGAAGCCGGCCTCGGCCTCGAGGCCGATTTTCATGGCCTTAGCATCTTCGCCTAGCCTGCGCTTCAGCTTTCCACATGCGTGCAAGCGTTATAACTGTTACCGCGTGCCAGCCTAAATAAGTCTGGCACCAATCCCATCTGCGTACAATAACATGTGGTAGTAGACTAGTCTGGTTGCTGTGTTGTACAACATTTTCTCGTTTTGCCTCTGTACCCCGACCTTTAAAAATGATTTGCGGCAAGGTGCGGCAAGCTTAATCATTTCTTTTTATAGGCCACTGTTTCAGTAAAAGTCTGAACTTTCTGGGTACGATCGATTGTACTAGTCCGTACCATTTTTTTTCATAAAGATATGATAAAAACAGTTACGATTTAGCAAGTAGATTTTATTTTTACACGGTGATTTAAATGAAAGTTCCGGCTCACAGGGTAATGTTTGGCGCAAATGGTCGATATGGAAAGCGCGATTTCAGAATTTGTTTTTCCATCCAAATGAATGCAAAGTTCTGAATGAATGTTTTAATAATAGGAGTCAGTATTCCTCGTGGTACCAGGATACTTTTTTGTATTTTTAGAGCCATGTTGATACTTATTACATGTATATAAGCACGGTTTGAAATTGACTAATTTTGCGTGGTTACAGATATACGGCCAAAACCTCTGGACTCCCTACCTCTTGCCATGATCTTAAAATTCTTCGAAGCCATTGGATTCAAATCGGATGATCCGAGAATTCATGGTCATTTTGATGAACTGAGTGATATCATGCACGCATGTT